TCCCCCCTGGAATCCCCCGGAGCTGCCGGAGCCGTAGGAACCGGAGGTCAGCTGGGGACACAGGGACGTTGGGGACACCGGGGACACCCCAGGGACGTTGGGGACACCCCAGGGGCACCCCAGGGACACTGGGGACACCCCCAAGGACATCGGGGACGTTGGGGACACCCTGGGGACACCAGGGACATTGAGGACACCCCAGGGACGTTGGGGACACCCCGGGGACACCAGGGACATTGGGGACACCCCAGGGATGCTGGGGACACGTTGGGGACACCAGGGACATTGGGGAAAGCCTAAGGACGTCGGGGACACCCCGGGGACACCCTAGGGACATGGGGGACACCCCAGGGACACCAGGGATGTTGGGGACACCGGGAACACCCCAGGGCCACTAGGCACACCAGGGACACCCCCAGAGACACCGGGGACACCCCAGGGACGTTGGGGACACCCCAGGGACATCGGGAACGTTGGGGACACCCCAAGGGAGGTTGGGGACTCCCTGGGGACACCAGGGACGCTGGGGACACCCGGGGGACACCCGAGACGCCTTGGGGACATCGAGGACACCTCAGGGACATGAAGGGCACTGGGGACACCCCAGGGACGTTGGGGACACCCCTGGGGCCAACCAGTGATGTGGGGTGACCCCAGGTGACACATGGTGACGGCAAGTGCCATGACGTGACCCCAAGTGACACAGAAGGACCCCAAGTGACAAAGGGGGGGACCCCAAGTGACACAGAGGACCCAAGGGACACGAGATGAACCCAAGGGACATGGGGGGACCCCAAGTGACACGGGGGGACCCCAAGTGCCAAAGGCCAAGGGTGGTGGCCCTCAGGGAGCGCTGGGACCCCTCAGAGCCTGGCAGCAGCTTGGGGGATGCTGGGGACACGGTGGCCACCGTTGGGGACGCGGGGGCCACCGCTGGGGACGCGGGGGCCACCTGCTCGAGGGCCTCGGCGAGGTGGCGGTTGAGGCGTCCCTCGCGCTTGCGCAGCTTGGCGCTGTCCCACTGCAGCCCCTCCACCGTCGTCCCCATCTCCAGCACCTTGGTCTCTGCCGAGGTGGCCTTGTCCTGCAGCTCCGCCAGCTGCGAGGGGGACACGGGGACAGGGTGGGGACACGTGCGGTACCCCCTCGGGGACACCCGCAGCAGCCCGCGGGGACCTCGGCCACGTCGTCCCACAGGGACATCAAGAACGGCGCCCCGTGGAGATGACGGTGGTGTCACCCCATGGGGACCTCAACCATGGAATCCCATGGGGACATCAACTGTGTCACCCCATGGGGACATCAAGTATGGCACCCCACGGGGACCTCGGCCGTGTCACCCCATGGGGACATCGCCCACATCATCTCACGGGGACATCAAGCACGACACCCCACGGAGATGACGGTGGTGTCACCCCATGGGGACCTCAGCCGTGGAACCCCATGGGGACGTCAACTGTGTCACCCCATGGGGACATCAACCACGGCACCCCCTGGGGACAACGTCACCGTCACCTACCACGGGGACGCAAGGGCACCCCAGCGACATCACAGGGACACCCCCTGACCCAGGCCCTCCCAGTCCCCCCCGTCCCCCCCAACACCGCCCCAGGGCCCCCTCATCCCCTCCCAGTCCCCTCCCAGTGCCCTCCAGTCCTTTCCCAATGCCCCCACGTCCTCTCCCACTGCTTTCCAATCTCCTCTAATCCTCTCCCAGTTCCTCCCCGTGCCTCCCATCCCTTTCCAGTGTCCCCTAATCCCCTCCCAGTGCCCCCAATCCCCTCCCAGTGACCCCACCCCACTCCCAGTGCCCCCAATCCCCTTCCAGTGCCCTCTATCCCCCTCCCAGTGCTCCCCAATCCCCTCCCAGTGCCCCCTAATCCCTTCCCAGTCCCTCACAGTTCCTCCCAGTGCCTCCTAATCTTCTCCCAGTTCTTTCCAGTGCCTCCAAGCCCCTCCCAGTGCCCCTAATCCTTCTCCCAGTGCTCCCTAATCCCCTCCCAGTGCCCCCACAGTGCCTCCCACCCCCTCCCAGTGCCCCCCGTCCCCCCCCACTTCCTCCTAGTGCCTCCCGCCTCCCCTCCGCCCCCCCT